AAATAGAATAAATAAAAAAAATAGAATAAATAAAAAAAGTGAAAGGTAGATATACCTTCAGTATGAGAAGTAGTGGGAGTTGAAGCGGAGTTCCATTTGCTGTTATTATAGTTATTAAATACATGTTGACGAGTTGAATGCTAAGTCATTAAATGAAGAAATAGAATTAATGATGTCATCTATTGATTTTGTATATAAACAGTAATTATATAAATGAAGGGATACTAACATCTTGATTTAAAAGCACATCGTCTACTACTTTAGTTATAGCATTTTTAAGTTCTTGAGCTTTTTGTCTATGGTCAAAACTCCGGTTATTTATGAGCTGGTCAGGTGACATACTCTTTTTTTTTTTTCACAAAAGCGAGGTCAAAAAAACAAATATATTAAAATATAGATTAAGAATAGGACTCAAGATAATTCCGAAAAATTCCCAAAGTTAAGGATTTTGATAAACAAATAAAGCATACCACTTGCGCTAGTAATTTTTGGTTTTCTTTTTGGAGTCGTTCAACCTGGTTTTGAAGTTGGGTGATTTTCTCATCTCTGGCCTATAATATTATCAACGAAAAAAGAAAAGGATTGCCTTAGAAAGACGAAAACAGCTGATAGAGTGATATCATAAACGTATATAGTTGTTTCTTTGATAAAGGAGGTTTTAATTTCAAACGTACTTTAAACTGGTCATCAATCATTTTTTGAATAATATTACTACTACTTTCAATGCCCTAAGAAACAAACAAGGTTAAAACGAATCAATCACTAATTATTAGTTCAAAATAAGTTGATCATTTGATATCTGATATAATAACATACATTTTTACTATTAGCCAAACCGTTGGAAAATTCGAGGTCAGAAGAGTGATCTGAAGAAGCCATGTGTGATATATTCAAGTTATTCAGGTTCCTTTTTTTCTATTTTCTCCCTTTAAATAAATTTTGAGGAGCCTTCAGTAAAGAACAAATGTTGGAACAAAGGAAGAATATATATATATATCTATATATCTATATATGTAATATAGTACGAATAAGAAGGAAAAAAAAAAAATTAAAGTGAAATATCTAGAAAAGTACACAATAAAAGTTACAAGTTTAGAATAAAATATGAAAAGAAGAAAGCGCGAGCTATCGAGTTATTGTCAATTAAGTAGAGCAAAAAGATAAGAATAAAAAAAAAATTTTGTGAAATGGAAAAAAGGTTAGGACTTTAGTGTTATATAAATCTATAAATAAATGCGTTTTAGTGGTTCTTGAAATGTTTCATTTACTACCGAAAATTGAACTATTACAACTATAAATACGCACAGCAGAATGATGAGCATATGCAATGACATGCAAATGACCCTAACACAAGAAAGCTGAGGACCCTTTTTTAAAAATAATAAATATACGTATTTTTTAATATCGATATACTGTGTACAAAAGATTTTTTTTATTTGTAATGACGTTAATGTAACTTCTAATGACCGATATAGTATTAGAATATATTGTGATTTACTGTGCGTTTATGGAATTCATGGAACTCACGGATTTTCTAGATTTTTAAAAATCACAATTTTATTATAATTGAAAATATAACAGGAAATAATTGTATGTTTTAGATATAGAAGAAAAATAGAATAGTCGAAAAGAAAGACGAATGACTAATTTGTAAAAAAATCCATCCCATTAAAATTTCGCCGACTTCATTTATCACACCTTCATTAACCTAAAACGTCTATCACGGTAAAACAAGGAATTTCTTGTACGAACAAGAGCAGTCGCATTACTTATGCAAGCATATAGCATATAAAAAAAAGTATAAAGTGACGTACAGATTTCCATAAATGTTAAATGCTATATAGATATAATAAGTATTTACATATCTATGTAGATAAAAAAATAAAGAAATAATAAATAATAAAAAGGAAATAGGATAAAAGAGAATAAATTTTTTTCAAGTACAGAAGTACGCATCATTTATCTTCCGTGACATTGTGTCAAGTTTTGATTTTTTACGTACACAAAAGCAAAAAGCAGGACTGTTTTTAAATAATGCCAACCCATTAATAATTAATAAATATTTAAACAGTTCTGTATATACTAAAAATCTTAAAACAAGATCATAAACAAGTCAGTTAAAAATTCACTCTGGAAAAATGATTTGATTCGTTGAATAATAGTATTTATCATTAAACAATCAGTAATACGTCAGGATGCATTCAATGATTTCTCCTTATAGAATTCATATCATAATCATGTACACTAATTCGTTACTATCCGTAATTTCTTTAAACCGAGTCTACATTAAATTTACTATAGAAATTACCGAAATAAATATTCTTAATTATCTTATCTCAAGCACGACAAAGATAATAAATAACACAACATGTATATCTGTATATCTGTATATCGATATACAAAGCGCAGTCTTTAATAAACAAAAAACAAGAAATTCTTTCCGTTCATCCCCAAGAAATATCCTTCCAAAGAAACAATGGGATACCATAAAATATTACAAAATAAATAAACAAATACTGTAAAAAAAACATTTATCATAAATTTGCATATTTGTATCAACATTTAGTAAACATTTTGTATTTGTATCAAATCATCAAAAAGATTGAAAATATTTCAATTCTGAAAAAAAAAATAAATTTGATAAAATTATCTTGAAACGGAACACAAAATCCCCTCTATTTTGAATATATACGTAATCGGTATTTTCTAATGAATGATTTCAAAATCGGCATAATCAACTCTACGCCAATCAGCACCACTTTAGTACCATAAAGTGATCCACACTCTCGGCGCAATGATTATTAACCTTATTATAAAAAAAAAAAAAATTTTTTTTTCAACCTATCCGAGTAAACTATTTGCCGGTCTATGTAATAAAGTTTTGTTTTTTTAATAATCTACGGTTGAACAATCCTGAAATGAGAAATCACGCGGAAAGATTATACCGGAAAGAGAATACCGGAAATTTGAAATTTATAATGTCGATTATTTTTTGATGGTAACAATATAACAATTATATTTTCATTGTTTACGGTTCAAAAAATATATATTTTTTTTTGACTTTGAAGATATATAAAAATCATTTTTTAACAAATTTTTAACATTAAGTATTATATATATGTATATATGTTGTAATACTTAGCAAATGTTTAGCAAATGCTTCGCAAACCAACTTTTAGCCAGGATTTTCATTTCAATCGTTGTCAACACCGGGTTTCCCTCCACTGCGCTGTAAGGTTAATCAAATAAATGATATATTGGCGAAAACTTTTGAATATGGAAAGAATTGGTTTTATATATATATGTATATTTCTGGTAATTCTTTGGAGAAAAAAACTTATCCATCTTTTGGGCTGCAGCATCTGCATCCGTAGGCATAAGTACGTACGTACGTAACGTAATTGAATCTTACAAGTCACATGTTACTGTACAATAACGGTGTTCGGAACGGAGTACAACCAAGGATCTAACGCTAAAAAATTCCTAAACTTGTATTCCTTTTTTCAAAGAAAAAAAAACCTAACTTTGGCGCGTAACAAAAAAAAAAAAAATGCAAGTAACACTACATAAGCTAAAAATTTGATGCAAACCAAAAAGGTATCTTATGCATGCATTCATGCATGTATATATAAGTAGATACGGCACTGTCCGAGCAGATAAGCGGCATGACTCATGATGTTCAAGCGGAGAAGAAAACTAAACTCAAAATGGTCATGACGCTAAAAGATCTCGTGATGTACATAGTGCATATCCTTTTATGTCAATGATTTTGTAATTACTGTATTGGTTGATGAGATTGATGGTGAGATTTTGGTGAAATTGGATTAAATGTAGAGATCTGAATTACATACAGTATATAATACCAGAAAAACGCGTCCACTTACTTTTTTTAAATCGGTCGAAAAAAAGAAAAACACGTTAAAAATCTCGCGTTTCTTTGATAAAAATATGTCAATTGCATTTAAATCATTTAAATCCTTTGTTAGAATCTTACAAAGTGCTAAAAATTTTTATCATGACTTTTAACGAATAAAGCTGATGTAATACAATAGATGAAACATATAACGGTAATGCATTGTTGCTCTTTGGCGTTTCTTGTAATTTTTTCCCACTATATATTCCTAAAACACCATTTTTGATACCCATCTTACCATATTAATTATGTGATCAACTTATTCGTCGATTCGGATTTTAGAGGTTCGTGCGATCGTGCGTAAAAAGTTATCGACCTAGTGCGATTTTAGAATTTATGTTTCAAATACACTTTCCAAATGTTCTTTCTTTTTATTCTTAGGTTGCACATCGTACTGTAATAAGGTCCTTTCGCACTTTTCCTTTATTATTACGTATAAAATTTTCAACTTACGTACGTACGTACTGTACATACTGTACATACTGTATGTACTGTATGTATTATACGTACTTAGCAGGTAGATGGTTCATCATTACTGTACAAATACCATTTTTAAATAGATTCGCATCCTATCTACCAATTTTACCTCTTAAATCCGTATTATATTCTCAATTTTAATATATATATTTGTTTATCTTAATATATCACTGGATGTGATAATGTAAATTTTTATTATTGTGCGAATCCCCGGTTCATATTCTCTCATTGTTCGCTATCTGTCACCAAAAATAATAATAATAATAATAGTAATAATAATAATTATATAATGATAATAATAATTAATAAATAAATAAATGAATAAATTTGGATGCATATAATATTATAGATGCATATAAAGATAATATTGTGATGCGATAAAAACAAAATTATATACAAATAAATATCTTCAAAATTTAGGTACTACCAACTCACTTCTTCGGCAATATTAACCGCCACAAGATCAATAATCAATAGTTTGGCAGTCACCACACTATTTATTTAGGATATGCAATAAACAATTATCTGCAATTACTGTAACTTCGCGTTTTCTTACTAGTCTACTATCTCATCTGCACTCCTACCAACGTCTACCACTAGTCTTTTCGAACGTATTTTAAAATGATACGTTAATTAGCTATCAAATAAATGCCTACTGTAAATGTTGGCTGATGGTTCAACATGCATCGTGATATCCAACTCACATTGTTTTGTAGTACTGCATTTGCATTTCATATTTTAGTATTTTTCATTTAGTATTTCATATAAATATATAAATATGCTGTATATATATATATTGTGATACTTGGTTTTTTAGTGTAATACTTTCGGTCTTTTAAATTAAATAATTAATATAAATATGCATGAATAGAAAATTGCTTACTTCACCTGTGAAAAAAAAAGAAAACCTAACAAAAATACTTCACACAAACTTAATGACAAATACAATTGCCAAATTGCCAAGAATCGACGGAAAGAATATCAACCATATCATGTGCACGTGTTCACATGTTATGTTACATATTCAACTTTGACAATCTCTCGAGTTAGAGAATATGATTGAGTTCCGAATATTACGTATCATATATTTAATCTTATATTTTAATCATATATATTTAATTTCATGCAAACTTTAAATGACTACACGTCACATATGTACATATTTAAAATATTTTTACGCGTCTTTAGCAAATAACAGTTGAAATGATAATTGAAAATAATGCTGTAAAAAAAATGATAGTTGAAATGATAGTTAAAGTGACAGTTAGCTACTAGCATTCATTCGATTAATCATTCAATAATACTGTAATATATGCGTTCTATATGTGTACTAGATTAAAATTTTATAGTAAACTAACAAAACTAACATGGTAGTCAAGTTTTGTACGCATTTAAGCATTTACTAATTTCCCCCCGAGTTTTTCATTGGCTTCCATAAAAATTATATACATGTGTACTTTTTAAAATACAACATTTCGTGTCATGGTTAGAATTGATTATAAATTAAAAAAATTCGTAAGGAACACTTTTTATATATGAATGATTTCATAAGCAAAATTTCGAGATATCTTAATTTAAAGATAAAAGCTATCCCCTACGATTGATGCATCAGATATCACTTCAACACTTGGGGTAAGTCCAGTAAAATTTTGTCGTTAATTTTGGTTACGCCATTCGATTAATTTACGTTAATGAATGGAGTTTGTTTGATTACAATTTCTTTATTTGTTCGACTGATTGATTGTGTTAGTAAGATTCGTGTCTTTTTTTACAATCCTTTCTCCTGAAAATTAATAATACGTAAATGCAAGAAATGAAGAATGAAAAAAAAATCATTGATATGATTGTGCTTTTGTTATTCATCCATTTATTTACATAAAAACATTGATTTTCTCCTTTGTCTCTTTTTTTCCGTGTCATTGCATGTATTTTTTGCGATTGGTGTTTGAAAGACCAATAAAATTTTGTTAGTAATAAAAGAAATTTTCATTTATTACATATTTGATATTGTTCCTTCTCTTTCTTTTTTTTGTTTGTTTTACATCCAACTCATTTATGTTAGCTTATGTTATTTATAATACTAAAACGCGTTGATGCTTGATTAGCATTAATACTGTAATATAAATAGAGATGCATTATTGTGAAACGCATAATGAGTCACCTTATTAAGTTATAATAAAAAGTTAAGTCTGTTCCAATAATTTACTTCTTTAGAAATGATCTCATGTTTTGTTTCGCGTGTGCAATTTTTTTAGACCTTCAAACCCAAATAAGGTGTCACTTCGTCAATTCCGGTAGATTAGAAAGATTACATCATGTAATTATGTATTCTTATCACAGCCACAAGAAAGTATGTACCTATATGACTCATATTCATCGGAGCGAAAATACCATCTTCATATCTTTACGTAGTATATTATGTCTTCATTTAGATGAACTTAAAGAAACTTTGTATACGTAAAATATTTTGTTAGGATTCGTTAGTCCGAAAAATTGTTGATCAGGTAATTATATATATATTGATTGGCGTTTTCTTAGCGTTAGTATTTATTATCTCTGTATCTTAGCATTTTACATGCATTCTTTCTTTTTCTCTATTCGGAACTTTTCGGAGGTTGTAAGAAATTTCAAAGCTTACGTACGTATAACTATCATACGATTCTTCTTTTCTATATCAGGAATTAAATGTATTCATTTAATTACTAATGAATTTTTTTCAATTTTTAATTCTATACGTATTTCCGCATTCTCTTAAGTCCGATTAATAATTATAGTTATTCCACCAGACATCGTGTGGCTACACGCACAGGAAAATTATTTATTGGTATATACTCTTTATCATTATCTGTTATTATTTCTACCGTCTCTTATCCTAAATGTTTACTTATAACCCATTTTCGTAAATTATTTAATCGTTTTACTCCTGAAAAATTCTTCGGAAAACTTTAATTACTAAAATGAAATCCCCAAACGTCGTTTCTTTATAAGTTGAATTCTTTGTACTCACTTACGTACTTACGTATGTATATATATCTTTTCGCCACGATTCTTTATCAGTCAAATCTTTCGATTAAAATAGTTTTTGATACGAAATATTCCATGAATTAATGCATATATATACTATATATTATTAGGTTGAATGTAAATAATTATTAATTCTAGAATAAATTCTATTTTGTGTTCATTTTTTATTTTGCTACCTTTCTTGGCATACCAATTAATTTGATTATTATTACATCATTAAAATGAATTGCTATATAAGCAATTTGTACAGTGCGCGATACTTAAAGACTAACAAATTTTAAAGACTAATAACTTTTAATCTAAAAATGATATTGAAAAAAAAGAAAGCCACTATTTTGTAGTTAAATCAATTTACTACAACTTAATGGCTTTATTTTAATAACTTTTTAAAATATATAGCTTTAAAAGTATAGTATCTTTATTTAATTATATTTTGGCGACGACGGCAGGGCTTGAAACTTCTTGTGTCATCTGTGATTCAATCCAACTTTTGAATATTTTTAGTTTAGTTTTAACAATCCAACTCAAATTTTATTATAAATTTGTCTTTTGTGTTTGTGTTTAAACCAATTATCTTCTACATTTAAGTATTACCAAATATTCACCTTTTTTATTTTAGTTGCAACTTGTTATTTTTTTTTTGTTCTTTTCTTTTTCATAGCTTTTTTTATTTTTTTTCATTATTTTTTTATTATTTTTTTTTTAGCTCTTTGATAGTCTTCTCAAAGTTCAAATGCAAAACTTTATTTAACAATAATGAGATATTATAAAAAAGATAAAAGTAGTTTGAGAATTGCAAGAACAATATTATCTAGCTACATATTACATGCCTAGCTATGACTTGTTATACTACCTTTCAAGAAAGCTAGAAGACTTTGTTAGCCTATTTAGATAGATGTTATTTTTATAAAGAAATAGCTATATTAAATATAAATTTAACAAAAACAAATACAAGAAAAAAATAACAAAATAAAAAAATAAAAAAAATACATTATTATAACTTATGCTAGACTAATAAAAATTATATAACAATTGCAACCTATTGTATATTTTTATTATAAAGCTATGTATTAATATATAACTTCTTATTTTGGCTATATAACTAACTTTGAATATCTTATTATCTGGTGATTTGTTTTGTGAAGTAGTATTATATTTGTTATTAAACAAAACATGTAGTTGCTATTTACTAAGTTTTTTAAATTTGAAAAACTAATTATTTGATAAAAGTAAGCTGTTTTGTCTATTTTTTTAAAAAAATTTTGTTAAAACACAAGTAGGCAATAATAAGATATATAATTCTTGTACTATTATATAACTAAAAGAAGATATATTTTTTCTACAAAGTATAAAACAAGTAGATCTAAATGCATTACTAGGCTTTTTTTTGATATATAATAAACTCTAAACTTGTTAGCAAGTAGTATATAAAAACTACTTCTAAATAATAAATGCTATTTTCATAGTAAATAATAAACTCTAAATCTATTAGCAAATAGTATATAAGAACTATTTCTAAATAATAGACATCAGAAAATTTTTTAAGCTAATAAGTGATGATTACTAACAACTAATTGATTATTATTAGTTAAATTTAATTAATAACAATCGATAGTAGTGTTTGCTATTGGCAAATATCTCTATTGATTTTAATTTTTTTTTTTTTGAAACAATTCAGCAATCTTGCCTCTACTTTATTAGGCTTGGAATATTATACTGAGAAATATTGCAAATTTTCGAAAAACAAGACTCTAAAAGACAAGTTTAAATGATGCCTAAATTACAAGTATTAGCTCACCCGACTCTTTGTAACCAAAGTCCAAATTACCCATATGTGATCTGCTATAGACAGAATTCTCTTCCGTAATATTTACTTCTGCACTTGAAGAAAAATAGAACTTCACTGGAAGGTTTCTACTGGCCCATCAAGACTACCTATTCCTTCTTTAAAACTTTTTTCACCTAGATCCAGGCAGAATAGTTGATCTTTTACTTTTCTATAAAAAACAAAAAATATGTCACATTTATGAAAAAAAAGACTATATCTAGGAAAAGAAAGAGAAAAACAGAAAAAAGAAAAGAAAAAAAATGTAACTAAAAAAATAAATCCTAAACAGAATTCTAACATAATAGGAAAGAGATAAAAAAAGCAGAAAAAAAGAATAGAATAGTCCTGGTGGATGTATCTAAAAAAGAAAAAAAATACAAAATACACTATTATAACTCGTGCCAGGTAAATATAAAAATTATATAACAAATGCAACATTTGTATATCTCTGTTATAAAGCTTTGCTTTAATGTTTGATTTTTCTTTCTGAGCTTTTCACCGACTCCGAGTAATTATATTGTGCCCATCCTAATTTATATCTTGAGCCAGGTGCTGCCGCCATCCATAGACCTACATCTCAAGCCACTTGCTACTATTATTAGGGGTTTCATGCCAGAGGCCTGATCCTAATGCGCCGTATCCATAAAACACATGGTTGTAATTCATTAGGTTGTCCAAATTTAGAAAGTAAACAATGCTGATCTTTTGGAGAGGGTAAGCCAAATCCCTACTTTTTGTCGAAAAATTTTGAAAGAAAGGCAGAGAAGCAGAAAAAAGATAGTAGGCACCACTTGGCTAAAAAGAAAGAGTGCAGCTTAAAAGAAACCTGTTCTTTACTGTTCCCCAGTTGTTTTACAACTAATAGCTTTGTCGATAGAAGGCTTGAACTGTATCACCTCCATCTAACCACCAAAATTTCATATACAAAGGCACTATTATCTGCCAGTTATCTTGTATACAGATGCTTTTGGCTTGCATGTCGAATATATAAAGGAGTCTCTGAACTTAGAAAAGGTTGACCTTTATAAAAACTGCCCTGTTGATTCACTTCACTACAGGTTACTACTCTCCAGTATTGAAAATAGGTTTTTTTTTTCATTAGAAAATTTGGTCTAAGTGATCGTCAGAAAGAATTATTATCAATAAATTATTTATTGATAACTATTGATAACTATTATCAATTTTTATCAATAGGCTTGATAACTATCAATTTTTATATATCGATTTCTATCAATAGATATAATAACTATCGATTTTTATTATATCGATTTCTATTGATAAATATAATAACTATCAATTTTTATTTATATCAATTACTATTGATAGGGTGTTACTAATTGATTAATAGCCTTAAATAGCAATCGATAGTTATTAGTTTAAAAAATTTTCTGATAGTTACTATTTTGTAGTTTTTTTAGTTTTA